TTTCTATATGCACCTGCTTGGGATGTCATCGACATGCTGATAACACTTGGCTCTATATTTCTTTGACCAAGTCAACAGATGCTGCTGATGCTGCCCTGGGCCAATGCCTGGATGGCACAGGAGTTTCTTCATCTATACGCAATTTGTAGGATTCTTCTCGACTCAGCCAACCTAACCACATTGATTCATGCTTTTGTGACCTCACAACTGAATCACTTACATGAGGCTGCCCTTGAACATAACTCAGAAAAGCATAATGCTGACACAAACAGTTTTCTCTCCGTTATACCTGTTTTGAAAGCTTCACACTGGCTGCCTCTGTTTCTAGGCTCAATTTAAGTTGCTGGTTTGGGCCTATAAATCTGTTTGCATACCTGAAGGATCCATCGAGCAGTTACAGCAGTTTCAGACTGCTGCCCATTCGTATAAGGATGTGAGGCAGCCTGCTCAGGAGCTTTTTATGCATTGGCCACCCCTATTCTGTGGAATCGGCTGCCACCAGAGGTGGAGGGCAGGATCCAGAAATCAGCGTAGGTGTGGATCATGGCACTTCTCTGCTCCTCCCTCCCCCATTAGGCCGTTTTGTTATGAAGAACGTCTCTACTGATTGGTTGGTAGAGAGATTTGGAAGGGGGTGTGTGGTGCTTGTGTTTTAGCTTTCTGGATTGAGATTCAGGAGGACAGCTGTGCTGGTCTACAGCAGAAGAGGTATATTTGAGTCAGGAACAGCTTGGAGACCAACATGGTTTTGGGGGTATAAGCTTTTGAGAGTCAAAGCTCCCTTTGTCAGACTGCTTTTGTTTCAATTACATTTTAGGGTTCTGCTGAAAGTTTCTTTGTACATCACCCTGAAACTTCTTTTTGAGAGAGACCATTTGGTAAACCCTTTCAACAGAAAATTAGATAATTCTTTGTCCCTCTCCCCAAAGCATCACCAAAATCTGGAATGTAATATCAGGCCCCCTCAGCTTCCAGTTAAGGAACTGCTGTTTAAAAGTAATGTACAAAAATTCACCTTGTACATAAGTTTCCTCCATGTTCCTCTTGGTTTAAGGAGTGAGGCATTAGAGCCCCAAAGGACAGCCTCATCTCAAGTTCTTTTCTCTCTCCCCGCCCCACAATGCCTTGTACAACTTTACGTCCTGACTTGATTATGTTATGCATCTGGTCCCAAATTATACAACTAAAGTCACAGAAACGGGCAGCATAATGGCATGAGGATCTAAGGCTAAGTTGTACTAGAGGTTAGTGGGGGTGGGGTGCCAATTTTAGCAAAAGTGTCCTAAAAATTTTCTCTAGAAACAACATACTTGCTGCTTATTATATGTGGCAGCTTGGGTCGGGAGAGCTGTATGACCACAGAATCACTCAAGCCCAGCACTTGCAGAATGAATACGCCGATATTAAATGAATCTCTTTCTGCTGATTACCTCAAGAGGCACTTAGAAGCAAATACCATTAATTTCCAGGAGAGGCAAAAACCCAGACTAATAAATGATTATAGTGAACTCCACTGATCAATGAGTACAAGGAAGGCACCTGTGTTTTGTTGTTAAAGCACGCAGGCTGCACCACCACAATTCGGAAGAATAAACATATTTGGACAGAAGGCACAAATCTCCCCCATTGGAACAACTTGAGCTGGCTGTAGAATTACTCCAAATTTCTCTAATAATGATCTTGAATTTGTTTGTTTTTTAATACATGACACACAGCAGGAGCCTATGAGGTCCAATGGTGCTATACCTTGTGTCCAGTACTTCCTCAGCTTTTAACCAGTTGGGGGCCCTTGAGTCCAACATAGTCCCAGATAAATGAAAATGTGCTCAAACGTGGGCTTGTGTCAGGCTCATGAAAACACCGGAATTCTCCCACCCTTCTCACATGGAGCACAATAAAGGATTTGATCATCTAAGACTCACTCTGGTTACCTATGATGTCTGAACACAGGCATGTGGGGGGGAGGAAGAGGAAGAATAATAATTGGTTTTTATACCCCGCTTTTCTCGACCCTAAGGAGTCTCAAAGGGGCTTTCAATCACCTTTCCCTTCCTCTCTCCACAACAGGCCTCTTGTGAGGTAGGTGGGGCTGAGAGAGTTCTGAGAAAACAGTGACTGGCTCAAGGTCACCTAGCAGGCTTCAAGTGGGGAATCAAACCTGGTTCTCCAGGTTAGAGGCCACCACTCTTAACCACTATACCATACCAGCTCTCCATTAGCCAGGATTAGATTTTGGATCCCTGTTAACACTTAAATTACCTTAATGTTCTCACTTGGACACATAACTGGCTGCTCATTTAACATTTAGATTTAGATACAGAGAAGATAGTTTATATTGCTTTAAACTAATTTATCAAAAGAAGTACAGAACTTGGCTTCCAGTTTGGCTTCCGCGAATGGCGGACGCAAGAAGTACAGAACTTAACCTCAAAGATCAATTTACTGCATTTTTAATATGATGTTTTCATAAAAGTACTGAATTATAATATTTTTTACCATTTTCATAACAGCCCTTTTTCTTTTTAAAACACTGCCAGATTAATATTTAACAGAACACAGCAAGATGTTATCTACAGTCCTTTCAACAGAAAGATCTGTATAACACTAAATGGAGGTTTTGCGCTATACATCAATTGGCTGAACACTTAGCTGGCCAAATGGGTCCTTATAATGGAAATCTGATAAACTGAAGATAAACACACAGAAGATGAGAGGTAAAAATGTGGGAGGATTCGGGGGGTCCCAATACCCCCAGGTCCAAAGGGTCGGTGTGAGACTAACCCAGGGACTGAATTCACTCCAAAGAGAAAACAGAGTCCGGTCAGCTTCATGCGAATATACTATTTTATTGAAACAACCAAAGTAGAATATGAACAAAGAATAGAACCAGTAGTATATAGAAACCCAAAAAATAATAATAAAAGTAACATTCCTTGTCTGCTCGCCAAGCCCTACAGAAGGGGTTGTTGAAGAAGCAGCCCCGAACGTCCAGATTCATACTCTTTTATACCTAAAGGATTCAATGCAAGATGCCACGCATAATGGGGTAGTCTGTGATGTAAACCAGACTCCACCTTCTTACCAATGGCAAGAACAGCAATGGACTTTTACCTAGATACATAATTATTGTCTATTCTCTTCAGATTGGTATCGTGCTCTCAGTGCTAATCTCTAATGTTTAGACCAAGTGTCTGGCATACGGAGGGCCTGAAAGCTACGAATCCAGGCAAAAGGTATATCTGCAGGGCACAGCTTTAATTTTACGCTTAGGTTGCCAGCCAAAGAACAAAGGCTCATGGGATACATGAACCAAAGAACAGAAGTTAGCTATATCAAAACCGACATAGAACTAAGGAACACAAAGTCCCAGGCTCATGAAAACCCAAATTCTGTCACACAAAAAATTCCCAATAAATAATCTAACAACATAAACTCAGGGACTCATTCAATGAAAATCATTAGTATATGGGCTCCTGTGTTTGAAAATGGGCCTAGTGTGTCTAGAAGCATCATATTTTGTGAAGTCCGTGGCCTGTGTAATGCCCTCTGGGGACAGGGCAACATCGGGATGTGATGTCATGTTACTGTTTCCTTATGCAAGCTGCTGTTTTCTCCATTCCAGGCACCCTGAAAGTGTGGTTCACTTCAGCCGCCTCAGGGTGACACTGCATTACCTAGGAGAAAAGCCACAACACTGCAACCTGCCTCCTACTTCTCCCTTCTTTTCCTGCCTCCTGCCAGCCTCCTCCCTTTCCCCCTTCCTTCCTTATAACCCCCACTTCACAGCTGGCCCTTAAGTTAAGCTCCGCCCTCCTCTTCTCTGTTCTCTGGCTCCTGTGTTTGAAAATGGGCCTAGTGTGTCTAAAAGCATCATATTTTGTGAAGTCCGTGGCCTGTGTAATGCCCTCTGGGGGCAGGGCAACATCGGGATGTGATGTGATGTTACTGTTACTGTTTCTCCATTCCAGGCACCCTGAAGGTGTGGTTCACTTCAGCCGCCTCAGCTTGTCCGTGGCCTGTGTAATGCCCTCTGGGGACAGGGCAACATCGGGATGTGATGTCATGTTACTGTTTCCTTATGCAAGCTGCTGTTTTCTCCATTCCAGGCACCCTGAAAGTGTGGTTCACTTCAGCCGCCTCAGGGTGACACTGCATTACCTAGGAGAAAAGCCACAACACTGCAACCTGCCTCCTACTTCTCCCTTCTTTTCCTGCCTCCTGCCAGCCTCCTCCCTTTCCCCCTTCCTTCCTTATAACCCCCACTTCACAGCTGGCCCTTAAGTTAAGCTCCGCCCTCCTCTTCTCTGTTCTCTGCCCTGCCTGAAAATACCTGGGCCAAAAGAGCTATTGTTCTCCCACCGAGGCTTGCTCACCTTTTAGGCTTCCGCAGGCTGTCCTGACGGCACCTTGCTGCCCCTGGTCCCACCCACCCAGGTGAGTCTTGCTGCTGGGCCCAAGGGACTGTCCCGCCCTGCCAGGCAGTTCATTGTATTGCTAAAACATAAGATCATTTTTGCCTAAGATTCAAAAATGGAAACAAACCACTTGAAGAATCCCATTCTAAATAACTTCACTTATGAGCAGTGTTCCCTCTAAGCTGAGTTAGGGTGAGCTGGCTCGCAGTTTTTTAGCCTCCAGCTCACAGATTTTTGTCTTAGCTCAGGAAGGAATGCTCCAGAGCAAAGTAAATTATACATTAGCCAAATCGCTCGCTCACAACTTTAATGCCAGTAGCTCACGAAGTGGAATTTTTGCTCACAAGACCACACAGTTTAGAGGGAACATTGCTTATGAGCCAATCCAAATAAAGTCAAGAGTCAGCCTGATTCTAAGCATTTGTGTAGAGTAATCTGCCCTGTAAATATTAAGGTAGCACTATACTGTGTTGAAAGAAAACAATAGGTAGATTGATATAGTGGGTTTTTAAATGTTTGCATTGTATCTGTATCGTTCCACCAGTATTCTTCCTTCCAAAAACAGAATAAAACTTAGTCACTTACCATCTGTTTGAGATTTGCTGAGGAATATTGTGCTGGCCCGTGGGTGATCTGAAGGGTTGAACTCCATGTTCATATCTTGAAAAAGAGAAAGGAGAACACAGAACGTAAGGAGAGATCTGTCTAGGACAAGGAGCACATCTTTGTGTTTCATTCTCTAAACACACACATTCATCCATTTTAAAAGCAGCATTTTAAAAATGAATGAGCTTGAGACCCTGAATTATAGCCTCTATACTCTCGCAGCTATTTCCTTTTCAAATTAGAGTCTATTCAGATATTATTTTTAAGTGCTCTTTGTTCAGATGAAAAAGAATAACTTGTGCCTCTGCACAGACCCAAGTAATGTAAGGGGCCGGCTGTTAAACACATCATCTCCTTCCGTCAGATTGACAGAGTTCACTTTCACACACAGAGGTGACTTCAGTCAAGGTCCAGTGTGATAACGTGGTCAGAGTGCTGGATTTTAAACAGGGGAGGCCTGAGAGTACAAATCCCCATCGAAGTATGAAACAAGCAGTGTGACTCTGGGACAGTTATTGACTCTTAGCCTAACCTACCATACAGGTTTGTTGTGTAAAGACTGAAAAAGAGGGATGGGGGGGGGAACTTGGTATGCTGCTCTGTATCTCTTGGAAGCAAAGCAGAATATAAATGTATTATTCCAGACTTATAAACAGCCACTTGCTGTACAAGACAGAAGAGTTTTAGGGGACGGGGGTTGTTTAACCTTTTCTTTTACACCATAAGTGGCACAGAAATGCTTAGGCAGTTGAGCTACTAATTATTTTATTATTAGGCCAATACATTCTTTGGATTTATTTGCAAGGCTTTGCCGCTACTAAAAGTGGGCACCAATGGGGGGGGGGTGGATTCATGTACAAGGAGGGGGAACAAGGCGAGCAGAGCAAGAGAGATTCTGTTTATTCTTTCTGATTCTGTGGAGGCAGCTTTGGTAACAACCACTGTAGCACTTCTACCCAAACTGTGATGCATGTGCTTCAAGATGATGGAGACCGGTGTTTATCCTCAGTACCAGGCCCATGGGAACTCGGGAAAGGATGCTAAAGAGAAAGGATAAGAGGAAGGAGGAAAGTTTCCTTTTTGTCCTGCTCTCTTTCTGCCTGAGTCCTGGCTGTTTGACCAGTTGTGTTTCAATTATATATAAGGAGAGATTACTCCAGACTTATAAACAGCCACTTGCTTCTGGTGCACAAGGAAGAAGAGTTTTAGGGGGCGGGGGTTGTTTAAGCTTTTCTTTTACGCCATAAGTGGCACAGAAATGCTTAGGCAGTTGAGATATTAATTATTTTTTTATTAGGCCAATACATTCTGTGGATTTATTTGCAAGGCTTTGCTGCTACTAAAAGTGGGCACCTATTGGGGGGGTGGATTCATGAACAAGATGAGCAGAGCAAGAGAGATTCTGTTTATTCTTTCTGATTCTGTGGAGGCAGCTTTGGTAACAACCGCTGTAGCACTTCTACTCAAACTGTGATGCATGTGCTTCAAGATGATGGAGACCGGTGTTTATCCTCAGTACCAGGCCCATGGGAACTCGGGAAAGGATGCTAAAGAGAAAGGATAAGAGGAAGGAGGAAAGTTTCCTTTTTGTCCTGCTCTCTTTCTGCCTGAGTCCTGGCTGTTTGACCAGTTGTGTCTGTGCTCTTCTCCTTGCTAACAACATTCAGAAACAACACGAAGGGGTGCCTACAAGACCCATGGGCACCACCAAGCTTGTGGGGCAAGCATAGTCTTTCTGTAAGGCTCCATTGGTGTCCAACATGTCTGCTCAGGACATGTCTAAGAAGAATTGCTCATTCGTGTTTCAAGAAATCACACGGAGTTCTTTTGTGGGTAAGTAGAGCTGCTTGTGAGCAATTTTCCCATCTGAAATACTTGCCTAGAAGTAACAGCTCGGATAAACAAATCCATCAAACCCGAATGAAGAGGCTTAGGCTAAAATACAACAAAAATGCTACTGGAGCCGAATCTGATTGTTTCACATTTGTCATTAGTATCTTCTTACCACTCCCACGATATTGCTGACAGGCAGAACAGGGACTCCTGCTCCATACAGTATGAGAGTTAAATGCAAAAGCTAATTATGCATCGCTGTGTGATTGTTAGCTGGGTGGTTATTATTCAATCTGATTGCTAAGGATGGTGACACTCCTGTTGAGATTAAATAGGTCAATGCTTAACCAAGCTTCAGGGTACGAGAGAACTTTTCCCTTGCACATCATAGAAAAGGAAAAGAGGGCACTGCTCTTCCACTTTTGGCCTCTTCATTTGCATGGGGAGAAAGAGCAAAAGGAGTAAAAGTAGTCCACAATCATCAGTAAGGCTTCCAAAAGGGCCAGACTTAACATGACTTTCCCTTGGGGGGGGGGGACATCTGTCATCCCTCCCACTGAGTGCTCAACTCTTGAACTGCTGCAGCCAAACTAGACATAATGGAGATCGCAGATCTTCCCGCATCTTTTCAAAACTGAATTATACCTGTGCAGGACCCTGATCCAAGGCCATGTTGTTTTACTTTAAACCAGACGCAGCAAATTGTTGCTAACTCCTGGGGGGGGGGGAAGAATGATAACTGTCCTTGCACAGGGTGGAGGGAGAAGACAATTGGCAAATCCATGCAAGGATGGAATGGTAAGCATCTCCTTTACTAGTGGGATCCCAATTCAAATCAGGTCCCTGCACAGCTTTTAAAAAAACCAATGGGAAGAGCCAACATGGATCTGCCAGTTTCACTCTCCCAGCGGTGGGAGCAGCAATACCAAATGATTCTTCAGAACAAGTAGATAGGCAAGTCCTCAGTGGAGGCCCCAAGAAGAGCTGAAAGAAGCCCGGAAAAGGAAGGACAACACAACAACAGTGAGTGGGAGAGGTGAGTATCACATGGCTCCTTATCACATGTGGCTGCTGTATCTCCAGCATAACCCAGAATTCTTTACAGATGTTTGAGATATGCACACACTGCTGTTCAGGGGCATCCTGTGGCTTGTAGATATCAGGCAAGTACAACTAAACCCTAAATCCTACTCAGTCATACACAAAGGGAAGAATGTAATGGAATTTCTTTTAAAAAAAACAAAAACAGCCAACAATCTCCACTGTTAAACTCATATCACATTAATCTAAGCAAAGGATGTATTCCATTATAAGGTTTACAATCAATAACTTCTAAACTTTGTAATAAATCACTCCTCATACATATTAGAACACAGACCAGAGAATGAAACTCTGCTACTCTGTGTGCTGTAGTGACTGGTTAGGGTTTTTGAATATGCCTTAACTTTATCTAACTATGCTGAATTCGCACACCTCCTAGGTTTGTCAGATGATAAACTAGAGATACATGAGGCTCCTGAATTTAGCTACAGAAAAAAGGGGAGAACCTTTGCTGGGGGCAATTGCTCTGGTAACTTCTTCCAGTACTATCTATGTGTTCTGGGAAATTCTTATAGAGACACTTTCCGCAAGGAATCCATTTACTGGACTCGCTTACTATAAAAAAGGAGGAGGAGGAGATTGGATTTATACCCCACCCTTCAGTTGGAGTCTGAGTGGCTTACAATCTCCCTTCCCTTCCCCTCCCCACAACAGACACCCTGTGAGGTAGGCGGGGCTGAGAGAGCTCTTTTGAGAACTGCTCATGAGCTAGCAGTTCTGCAAGAACTTGTAACTGATCCAAGGTCACACCAGCAGCTGCATGTGGAGGAGTGGGAAATCCAACCTGGTTCTCCCAGATTAACTCTTAACCACTACACCAAATTGTATAGCACTGTAAGGCCTCTTCACAGAGTACATTTTCAAATTTGGATCTAAGCACACATCTAAACATTTAAAGCAGAGGTGTTGAATTCATTTGTTACGACGGCTGGATCTGACAAAAATGTCACTTTGTCGGGCCAGGCCATGTGTGCCATAATGCCAGGTAGGGAGATACAAACTTTATAAAGGACACAGGGAAACCCAATTAATGATACTAATTTTTTACTCAAAATAAAAACGTGCTTAAAACATTAACACTTTTACAGTTTTTCCATGAAGTATCTCTCCCTGATGCCCGCCCTCCCACTTCCACTGCCCATTATTAATACTGGGACCATATACAGGGACATAATACACAGGCTCTGTCATCTGGCAATAAAGGTATGACCAGTTGCTCATAGGCCGGATAAGAGCCCTGGACAGGTTGGTTCCAGCCCACGGACCATATGTTTGACACCCCAGATTTGAAGTATAAATGTTTTGAGCAAGTGTTTGCTGACCTAGGGATTCTCTTCAGGGAACTAGGATCGGCAGCCATTCCCTTCTAAATATGCAACATGTCGTTCCCCCTCCTTTGCTTGCCATCAAGTCATAGCCATGGGGTTTTCAAAGCAAGAGACATTCAGAGGTGGTTTTGCCACTGTCTGCCTCTGAGTCAGGACCCTGGTGGTCTCCCATCCAAATACTAACCAGGCCCAACCTTGCTTAGCTTCTGACATCTGAAGTGATCTAGCTAGCCTGGGCTCTCCAAGTCAGGGGGGTCCCTGTGTAATCCCTGCGTAATGTACCAAAAATAGTGAAGTCTGGCTTGCTCTTGTGCCTTTAAACAACAGTTTGGCCCAGCAGAAATCAGCAAAATAAACTCCACAAGGCATGAAAATGAGCATTTTCACCAGATCATGGGTTTGGATCCAACCAGATTTTTTGCTGCTAAAAAAAGGAAGGAGGAATCCTCTTAGAACAAAACAGAAGTCCAGTGTCGCCCTGAAGTCTAAAAACATGTATTGTAGTATGAGCTTTCCGGAGACAGAGTTCATTGTAATTTTCTTTGACCATCCAAAAAGCACTAGGCTGAGAATTGTGGGGCCTGCATGTATGAAAGCCACGTGGGACCGGGGCTGCAGTATGTAGGGGACTGGAAAACTCCGAATGAAAAAGATGAAAGGATCCCACCCAGCATCTGCATATCATGTTACTGTTAAAGGAAGGGAAATAGGCTGTGGAAGGTCGGTAGTTCAGCAGTTCGAGACCCGAGTGTGCCACATGACGGAGTGAGCTCCCGTCTCTAGTTCCAGC